AGCTGTTTCTGATACCATCAAGATGACATTACAACACCATATTAACAGCACCACATTTTCTCATTTGTGGCATAGTTTAAAAATCATAAACAACTTTACAAAAATTGTCTAAAATTATTAACAGCCTTAATGTAGGGGTTGATCAAACATATCCTAGCTAAACATGCCAAATATGAAAATGGTGCTGATGACAAGAATTGCTGCTTGGGTCAACACAGTAGAAGCCTCCTGTCTGTAACAGCTTTACCCACCTGTTCCTAATTAAGAGTTCTGAAGAAGTTATTTATAGTGTTTACTCTACACATACATCTCAATGTGACCACTCAACAATGATCCCTGATTCCTACGTTGTTAACTATCTTATTTGCAAGCATCATTTTAAACTTCATTTTTCCTCTTTATCCCCCTTTTGCTATACTTCATTTCTACAGATGAGAGAGAGAGAATGCTTTAGTGGAGTACTGTAGAAATTTCCTCCATCCCACTTTGTCTTGAAGGAGCTGGGGGTGGTGACTGACCTTGAAGGAGCTGGGGGTGGTGACGGCTGACAGGGAGCTCTGGTGTGGGCTGGTCCATGAGGTCACGAAGAGTCGGAGACGACTGAACAAATGAACAACAACACTTTGTCTTCTTATGCATATTTTCTGAGTTGATTTGCCTCTGCTTCCCTTTTCTGTGTTAATTTTTTTTTGCTGCATAGATTCGAAGCACTGTTATTGGTCCTTCCTTCCTTCCAAATGACCCTGTAAAATTCTCAGTCATAATCCTAAAATGAATTTCCCTCAATTTCTCTTTTCTTGTGTAATGTGTTCCTGCCAGGCCTTTTCCTACTGCCTTAACCAGGCTCTCTCCGTCATTAATATCCTACTTAATTCACTTCCACCACAAATATCCCACTCAAAAGCCCTCCTCAAATAAATGTACATGGGCTGTCCCATGAAACATGTATGTAATTTAGACCACAAGATATTTCAGCTAGTTCTGCACTGTAGAATAAATGGAGTTTGACACCACATCCACAATTCCTGTGGTCTGATGTTATGGAATCCTGGGATTTGTAATTTGTTAAGGCATGGCAGAGAAGACCAAAGACTTTGAAAAATGACACCTCCCATGTTTCCATTGCACTGAGCCATCACAACTAGACTAGCATCAAACTACACTAATTCTACAACAACAACAACAACAACAATAATAACTTTATTTTTATACCCTGCCTCCATCTCCCCAAAGGACTCAGGATGGCTTACATGAGGCCAAGCCCCGTCAACAGTTAAAACGTAACATGTACAAAATGAAATCATCACTATAAAAACAACATAAGCAACATTATAATAACAATAAAACAAGCATCAGAAGCAACAACCAATGGTATAATTGAAGTGGACTGGTGTACAACAATTTAAAAAGTAAGTCTAATGAGTAAAGTGCATAGGTCATATAGCAGCAAAAGATAAGAGAAATTTCAACTGCATAATTATGACTTTGGATAGAAGGTGCAAGGACAAGATTTTAGGCCATAGTTAGGGCCAGCTGTCCAGGGAATTGTCTAATCAAAGGCATAACTCAAGCTGGATCTACACTGCCCTATATCCCAGAATCCGATCCCAGATTATTTACTTATACTAGATTATCTGGCAGTTTTAGACTCAATCCAGTTCAAAACAAATAATCAGGGATCGGATCCTGGGATACAGGGCAGAGGAGATTCAGCCTCAGAGTAATTTAAGAATAAAATATAAAATCAGAGGAACTGAATAACAAAATAACCAATCAAGTAAAAATAAATGGGCCATGGAGCAGTTTTTTTAAAGAAAGAAGATAAATGAACAAATAACCACTCATAGAAAGATTTTGTTTGTGCCAACACAGTCTTCTATATTGACCCCTTCCAGGTGAATGTGGGGAAAGCATTCAAGAAAAAAATGTGTAGACTGAAGCCTAACAGCACCTGCCAATGAATTCTCAACTTCAGCAAACAGAGGACAAGTTTCGTTTCCTTGCAGTCTCAATAGACACACCGACACAAAATCAAACACTCATTGAACTTCTTTCTTCACTTTTATGTTGGTGAAACTTCAGTGGTTGAAGTCAGGTCAGAAAGCAGAGGCTGGCAAGTCTCTGAAATGTAGACACTGGCTGTGTGAAGACTAAGGGAAAAGATGAAAAATAAAACTGGGAGACAATGAATTGCCCCCCCCCCCCCCCCGTGTCTTATTCCCAGCAAATACCTTTTTTTTTCCAGTGGAAAAGCTGGAAGCTTTGAAGGATGCATTTAAAATAAACAACTCTTTTTGAATGTGATTTTCCTGCTTCTTGGCAGGGGGTTGGACTGGATGGCCCACGAGGTCTCTTCCAACTCTATGATTCTATGAAATGATTTCTTTAAAGGAATGAAAGAATTTTAAGTGGTTTTCACGCATGAAATTCTAGGAACATAAAAATTCCTCACTGTAGGGTTGTATTAGATGGGTGATTTGAGTTCACTTCTTATTCCTCCTTTTTGGGAAGTTAGAATTTCTTTCCCTCATGTTTTGAAATTACAGTTAGTAATTATTTTCTCAATCTAATTTCTAAAGTTCTGGAATTTTCATGGCCACTGATTTACATAAAAGGTAAATGATTTATGGTAATTTGATCTTTCAGATTTTACTCTGCTGACATACTTGCACAGCTTTTAGTCTTAAGGTGGTTGGGCTGGAAAAGAGGATGTAATAGCTGTATTTAGCGAATAAACTTGTATATTTTTCTCTTCTACTTAATGTATGGTTATGCTTTAATCAGTTTATGAGCATTTTGTTTAATTTTTGTTCTTGCTTTTATGGTAATCACGTTCCATAAAACTCATGCTAAAATAGGCAAATTAGACTTAAATGTTCCACAGGACTCCTTCTCTTTTATACTGTGGCATGTCTTTCTCCTTGAAAATTGAGGCCTGCCTAGTTTATTGTAAAGGATAAGTCTTATTTACCCGGAACTCTTTTACACTATGCAATTTTAGCAGTATGCTAATTTGATTGCAATAGTGACATCCTATGGGATCCTAGGATTCATGGGTGATCACTTATGGCTGAGTATAATTGTCTTCCAGATTCGACTTCATCTTTGCTTCTTCCAGAATACTGACATTTACCCACCTGTCTTCCCAAGAGATTTGCAAGAAGGCAATGTTAATGACTCTTCTCAGAAGTCAAGAGTGATGATTGTAGATGGTCCATGTTTCACAGGTGTACAATAGAGTTGGAAGAACAATAGCTGTATAAATGATCCGATGCTCCAACACTATGTTTTCTTCGAAAAAATTATGTACTCACAGAGCTCAGAGGGTGTTGCGTTTCAGCATCAATAGTTTGGTGAACCATTATATCTGTTTAGCTAAGACTTCTAAATACCACTTGCCTGGTAGATCCAATGATTTTTTATGAAATGCTGGAATCAGAATGCCGCAAGTGTGCAATATTCTGAAATTGCCACTTTTATTCTGAAATGGTCACTTTATTATCTTACTTCAGAATACAATATTGTACTGTTTCAGAATACAATATTGCATTGTTTCAGAATACAATAGAACTGAGGGTCAGAAGGCCAGGTTTCCATGAGCAGATCATCTTTTTCAAGCAACACTGTTGTTTGAAGAGTTCAAGAGTTGAAGAAGTGATGCTTAAGTTTTTTGAAGATGCTTTGACTTGAGGAATTCCTTGTTCTTTGGTGAAGTGGTTAAAAGTCTGTATTTATGGCAGTCTGAAACGCTGGTCCCAGTTGAGTTTGGTACATTTTGTGAAGATCACACTGAGATACTGGCATGAGGGAGGTGCCATTCTGTTTAAATAGCAGTATAAGAACTGAATAAAGGCCACATCAAGAAGAGGACACCACTTTGTGCAGTACAAAAGCTACTGAATGCCAAAATGGGGAATAGGAATAGAAGACATGATGCCACACATCAAAAGTTACACAAGACATATGAATAAAGATTTACCCAAAAGCTGTTCTCATTAGCTGCTTTTGTGATAGTTGCCCTTCCTTTCATCAAATGTCAAAACTTCAGACTGAAGTGCACAAGCCCAAACACTGTAACCTTGGAATATAAAGTTGCCTTATAAGGAGTTGGACCATTTGATTTATTTACAATGATTTATTCAGTACACCACTGTTGATTCAGATTGGCAGGATATTTGAAAAGGTGGCAAAGGAAAAAGGAAAGTGTCTCTGAGATGAAAAAAGAAGGAGAATGTGTTAAAGACTGTCAAATATGGTTTATTAGATAAAGTGTTGGTTTTACATTTCCGAGAACAGCACCTAAGTTTACTGAAGTAATCAATCAGTCAGTCAGTCAGTCACTCACTCAATGTTTAAATATTTAAAATGTAGATAAAATGTAATTTCATATTATTTCCAGGTGCCTTTTATGTTCATTACACACCAGTAAATATTCCTTTAAAAAGCCCTGGTTGAAACTCTAAGAGCAGTTAAAATTAGTCATTACATAATTGATATAATTTATTCATACTATACCAGTTATTAGGAAAGTTTCCTGAAAAGTCATCTCCACACCTTTTCGTTTTATTTTTTGCATAGGGAAATGGTGAAAAGCCACCCTCAAGTCATCTTAGCAAAGTAACTATGGGAACTCTATGTACTCGTACTGAATGTACCGTAAATGTGCCTTACCACCAACACAAGACAGGCAGAATTGGGACAGGCAGACAAGCATATGAGTAGACACACACTCCCTTTCTTCCTCTAGTCATACCCAAACTCCCAGCAAGTAACTGTATGAAGATGGTAGCTGTTGATTATATTGTAAAGCATCCTTCCTTAGATAAGGTGGAAGAAGGTGGGAATGGAGGAGAGAAGGGGGGAATGGAGGAGAGAAGAAAATGCAAGAGTGACATCTGGTGTGTTGGTGTACTTTCCTGTCAGAATTGGAAGGATTGGCAGCATGTATGAAAAAGTGGTCTTCTTCTAACATTATGCCAGTTTTCTTACATCTTTCTTAGTGTCACACTATTACCACCCCCTATGCCTGCACACCCATATCTGGACAAGACATAGTTGGAGTATTAGATTGCATCAACTATCACTAGCAAACATCAGACCCTTGTAGAAATTATTTTACACAGAATGGTGTGATATCTTTGCAACCAGAATTACATCTTGAAATATTGTGATACATAAATAAACTTTCTGAAAAAGTCTTGGCAATTGTTATATGCTTGTTTCTATCAATTTCAGCAATATATTCAAAACATGCAATCAGTTAAGATTCAATTTGAGACATCACCAGTTTATTAGAATAGCTGAGAAACATTATAAACTGCAATCAATTACTGAACACTAAACAAATTACTCATAGCATGAGACATTCCCAATGCACTACCAACCATACTCATAGTTATCATCATGAATCCAACAAGTGCTGCATAATATGTTCTTAACATTCTTGCTTTTTTGGAGTTCCAATTGTCTCTTCACATATTTAAAGTTTAGATATAATGAAGAGCAGATAGCCTGTCTTTACTCCCAAACAATTTTGAATTTAAAAACTGTCCGTTCTTGAATGCTGGATTTATCTAATGCTTAATAGGTAGAGGTCCCCTTATATATAAGAGACTTCCTCCTCCACAACCCTGGAGTCCCTTGCAATGCCTTGAGAGGAAGGGATTCTCAAAATGATTATGCTGTGGCCATTTGAAGAGGCGATAATTGAAAGTGGGCAGAAGTAGCTTGAGTCAGTTAGAAGCTAGTTGAGAATAATGGGTCATGCCACTCCCAAACAGACAACTTAGGCTTCTAAGAAAGGTCTATAGAGAATGGCAAAATGAGGACAGCTCCACTGGACAAAGCAAAAACTTATTCCCAAGACATGGCTACTATTTTATTTTTTTAAAGATTACAGAAAAATCAAAAGTATGAAAATGTTCAATCCATGCCTTAGCTGGGGGTGGTAACGGCCGACAGGGAGCTCTGGCGTGGGCTGGTCCATGAGGTCACGAAGAGTCGGAGACGACTGAACGAATGAACAACAACAACATGCCTTAGCAAGCACTTGCGTTACATTCCCAAATCCAATAACATATGCCTTTTTGCAACTTAAAAGTAACCAGCATTGAAGTTAATTAAATCTGGGTTTAACATGAAGTTCTGAGCTCATAAGGTCTCCAAATAATTAAAATAGATATAAAAAAAGAGGGAGGGAAAAGAAAGGAAGTTGGCTTCCAATTAAGACTTTTTTTGTAGGGAGAAAAGACAAAAAAAAAGCCAAATACTAATCATAGCCTTTGTAGTTTCTCTTTTCATTTTTTACACAAGGAAGAAAAAGAAACTCAAGTAGAGCTTAGTACACAAGATTGTTTTTATTTTCTACTATAAACTATATATTTCTAGAGAATGAACTTTAGGGATAAATAAATTGATATGAACCTTGTCACTGAAAGTTTCTTACCACCAATTCTTAGGTTTTTTACCCTTGAGACTTATGCTTTATGTTCAGACCAACCTGAACGACATTGGGAAGTCTCAGGCGCCTTCATACCATTTCCTTTGGCACCAGAGGAAGGCCTTGTCCTTCAAATATAGGACATTGGGACTTGGGGTTGTGAGTGTTTCGACCTCATAGCCATTGAGAGGGARGGAGCTTGGAAGGCTTCTCAGCTAAAAAACCCCYTGGGCACAAAGACAACCAAAGACTCTTRTGTATTTTTTCTTTACCCCCATTTTACCTGAGAAAGATAACTCTTTGAACAATAAAGYCTATTTCGAATTACCTATGGTGTTTTGTTGATCCTCGGGAGTTCCTGTTTCCCTAAAGGAAGGCRAGAAGCAATCCCCTGGGAAATAGTTGCCACATCCTTTTTTTTTTTTTTTTACTAAGAACTATAGATTCCCAGGCAGCGACGGCACAGACACCAACACAATTACATCAATTGAGGCATTGGTAGGTTAAATGTTTTTGAATATTTACATATAACTGTAACTTAAGATAAGACTGTCCAAATCTGATTAAACAATTATTCTAATCTTCTGCAATGTAAATGTCCTTATGTATCCTTCCAAAGAGTAAAATAATAAAGAGTAAAATAATAAAGAGTAAAATAATAAATGTAATAATAATAATAATAATAATAATAATAATAGAGTAAAACAATGGAAATGTAATAATAACAGTAACAGAGTAAAATAATAAATGTAACAATAATGGAGTAAAATAATAAATGCAATAATAATAATAATAATAATAATAATAATAGAGTAAAATAATGAATCTAATAAAAATAATAATAACAGAGTAAAATAATAAATAACCTAGACTCAAGTATAAGGCGAAGGGGACTTTTTCAGCCTAAAAAAAGGGCTGAAAAGCTAGGCTTATACTCCAGTATACACAGTCTCTCCTGTAGGCTGATATTTCTAAAATATGGTATATGCTATAAATAAAAAAAATTAAGAACAATATATGACTTTCTAAAAATAACTGTGCTTTAATATATTCTTGAACACTTGGCATACAGTCATATAAGCCCTCCTCGATTCTGCAAACTTACTCAGGGATTTTGGCCAGTTTTTCTTTTACAGTAAAAGCAAAAATCTTTCTCTTTCCTTTCTCTCTGTGAAGAAAGAATTCTTTTTCATGTCATGGTCATTTCTCATTGTGATGACTCTAATTTTCTCTGTAGCTTCCCATCTCCTTACCTTTTCAATCAAGTCAAAATGCCTCAACAAAACTATTTTTTCTGCTATCACTTTATAGTTATGCTATTACATTTTAAGACTTCACACTGGCTCTTCTTTGTTCTTCACATCACTTTTCAACTCCTTGTTCTTACTTTTAAGGCTCTTCACCAATGTGTCCTGATTACATTTCTACCATCATGTTCCCTTCATCATTATCCTGTTATTCTAGCCAAACTCGAGCACTCTGCAACCTTTGCTTCTTTCTTCCATCTCACTTTTGAACTACATTATTCCTTATTCATGAAGTGGCTTTCCTTTACAATAAACTAAGCTGCTTCCCTTTCCCATTCAATTTTTTTAATGTAAAATACTTTTAAAAAACCATTCTAAATGTAAAAAGATTTGTATTTTTGCTTTTCCACTCACAAGGCTGCTTAAAATACATTTAGGGAGCAATATGTAAAATAAATTAATATAAATACTAAAACTGAGATGAAATCATGCAAAATAATAACAAAACACACAAAATACTGAAAGCATAACACAACAACAACAGTGCTAATGGAAAATATTATATCCCTAGTATGTTCTCTAAACCTGGGAATTCACAGGCCCCATCTACATTGCCATATAATGTAGTTTCAGATAGCAGTTTAACTGCATTGGACTGCATTATATTAAGCTACACTGCCATATGATGTATTTTAGAATGCAGTTAAACTGCATTTTGTAACTGCATTACATGGCAATGTAGATTGGACCCCAGCAAAAAGGACCTTCATAGTGAGCATCTACAGACTAGAATTCATGAAGTTTGACACCACTTTAACTGCCTTGACTCAATGCTATGGAATCTTGGGATCTGTAATTTGGGTGATGCACTAGCACTCTTTGGCAGAAACAACTAAGGCCATGTTCCCATTGCATTGAATAATGGCAATTCAAGTGGTGTCAAATCACATGAATTCTACAGTGTAGATACACCCATAATCATTAAATGAAAGCAAATGATCCCAACAGAAAAAAACTTCTTCAGATCTTGAAATGATGTGTAGAAGGAAGTACATGATCACAGACCAGAGGGTAGGTAACAAAAAAAAATACAGTTTGCCAAAATCAGGTGGACTGTGATGCCCATTCTTTAACATTGGCTATGCTGGTGTGGCAGTTGGAACCCACTTAACCAACAATACCTGGAAAGTCACATGATTGCCATCACCTATTCAAGTGATTAAAGTTATCTTGACTCTTTTGTGGAAACAAACCAGTAGCAGAAGAGCTCTGTCAAAACTGAAGAAATACCATTTTTATTCTAAGCTATAGGCAAGCATCTGATCTCTATTTTAAATTAAGCATCACTGAAGGACAGCTCCATCTATGAGGTTTTAAAGTAATGAGATCATGGAGCATGCTAAAGTTAGGAATTCCATAATACCTGTTATTAAAAGACATTTATGTTCCTGACCATGTCACTCCGCTTCCTCCTTCCCTCTCTTTGTAATTTTATCCTGTATTTTTATATTGTAGATCCAAAAATACCTATATATCATTGATCCAAAGTGAGAAAACTCCATGTAAGTCTCATGTAAAAAGTTACTTGATAAACTCAAGTGAACCTAATTTCTTCTCGATTTATATCCAAGTTACAAATCCTATACAGTGATTAATAGATCACTGAGTTTGGTACAGGTAGCAAGTGATTCACAATAATCCATTAAAATTGATTGCCACACTTTAGTAGTGATATGAATCTTAATATTTTTCATTATTACAAAAAAGATATGATTCCTGGAGTACGCTCTGTGCTGTAGAAGGACACAAAGATTTAAGTACAATTTCCAGTCACTACTTGCACTTTGGGAAGTATTAGTATGCAAAGAGAAATATGCATTTCTTCTTCACTAAATGCATTTTCTACACATAAACATGTTTTCTGCACTGAAAGATCAAGTATATTTCTGTGTAAGCAAAAAAAGTTCTAAAGCATGACGAATCTTATGGCAGTCTCGTGGTAATCAGGTTTCTGAATGCAGAAAAACAAATAACAAGAATATTGTAGAAATGCCACACTGGTTCCAAGTTTGTACGAGATTTTTAGACAGACAGTTGCTGTCCGGTTTGGAAATAAGGCCCTTAACAGGGCTGGGACAGATGATCTTATGGAAAGTATAGCAGAAAAGCATTGTAGTGTGTTGCTGGGAATTAGGAGTAGTAATTTTGTGGGGCTGAGTTGTCCATAGAGGGATGTCAGCCCTCCAAAGATCACATAAGGCTTTCTAACTTTGTCCTTTCTTAGGGTAATGCCTTTTTCTGTACTCATTTTTACTTCTACCCACAAATGGCTGTCATGCTTTTAGTGAAACTGTGAAATCTACTTCCACAAAGAATGAATATGTGAAATACAGATCAGAGA